AGCTAGGTCGTCTTGCTCTCGGCGATGCATCCATTTAGACATGGCTGCGTATCCCTTGACGCCCCCGATCTGGGCCAAGGCATCCGTGACCATGACCCAACCGGCGCGGCATTCCCATGACTGGCATGCTCTGTCAAATCGCTCGTGTATATATATATATAAACAAAAAACAAAAAAACAAAAAACAAAAAAAAAAAAAAAAAAAAAAAAAAAAAAAAAAAAAAAAAAAAAAAAAAAAAAACGCCGTGACACGGTCTGCGTCTGCAGGTGGTAGACCAGGGCAGTCATTCCACGATGGCGGGGCAACGGATTGAACCTGACCCCCCCCCCACCCCCTTCATCGGGGTCTCCAGGACCAGGGCTTGTTCTCTGAAGCTCAAAGGTTTGACTTTACGAAGTTGATTGCGCAGCTCTTGTTTCCCTGCTACGGCGGAATTTTCCGTCGGCAATGTGCGCGGCTCGCGGACGCATTCCTCTTTGTCGGACGTGCCCGTCCCATCTGATTTGGATGCGTCCGCCCCTGATGGTACGTCTGCACCGTCTACCTTTGATGCTACAGCCTTAGACCTTGTTTTGAGCAGTGCAGCCAGGCGGCCCAGCAGATGAAGATGCCGCGGCAGATGACTCGGCGGGCGTTGAAGCTGGCGGTCCGCCCTCAAACTTGACCCGCGCGACGCCATGCACCTTGGCTGATGACTTCGCCACTGGCCAGAGTGTCTCAACTTGGAGACATTCTGGCTTTGGCCGTGGCTGTCTGCCGACTGGCAGTGGTTCAGGCATGTCAATGGCGTGGCTATCCTGTTTGGGTTCCCCATTGAAAGGGGAACCCAAAGGGTTCCCCTTTGAAAGGGAACCAAGGATGTGAACACCCCGAAAGTTTCGGGGTGTTCGCATCCTCGGTTCCCTTTAGATTCAGCAGAGCTGCAGGATCGAGAGGCGCATCAGGCACTGATTTGGCTTTAGGGTCGGGCCCTTTGCCTTTGCCCGCTTCCGAGCTCGATTTTCCCGCGCGCGCGACGGGCATGGGAAATGCCCGGTCACCGCGACGGACCGGGCCCGACAAGGGCTCCGCGGACCTCGCGGCAACCGGCTGCTTAGACATCGGTGTGGCGCCACCTCCAGAAAAGGGCGGACTTCTTTGAGATGCAACGAGAGCGCCTTCGCGAAGGGCCGCGCCCGCGCCCGAACCTGTCGGGGGATTCCTCGGGGTCCACCTCCTGGACTGGGCGCAGCTTCTTTGCGGGGGTCTCTCCTGGTTCATCGGTCATGAGGGCCCTGGGCGTGTCCGCCCTCTTGTGTGCTAAGAATATCTTCGCTTTTGGGCGTGGTCGCTCGGTGGCTTAGCTTGCGAAGCGGACGTGGGCGGCTGCCCCCCCCCGCATCTGCTTCTTGCCCGGTCATCTCATCCGCCCCGCGAGTGGATGCTGGGGGGGGCGCGGGAGGTTCAGCGCGAGAGATTCCGACGATCTGTTCAGGCACGTTTAATTCGCGTTGAAGAGGGGCATTATGGCCATGAGTCCCACGCGCCTCGACGGGATCTTTATCCCGCCGCTGCCGGCGCCAATCCTGGCTGTGCACTTCGAGGAGGTGATCGTCCTCGATCTCATTCCAATGCTCTTCTGCGCCTTGAGCTTCCGCATCAGCAAGTGAAACGCATTCCGAGGCGCCGCGCCCCCGTGCCGCCGCCGTTGTCGAAGCGCCACGGCGCCCCCCGATGGCGCGGCCTGCGAGATGGACGGCCCAGGAGACTGCTGCCGGGGTGTCGGCTGCGAAGAGGGCGCGGGCGCGCGCGGTAGGTTCTGCTGAATGTTACAACATCTCGCAGGCATGCGCAGGCGCCGTTCGTCATGGGAGAAAGAAGCGCGCCCCTCCCCAAAACATGCGCAAACCTTTCCCTGGCCCGACCCGCTGGGGCCCGCGCCGCGCGCGGGGCCAGCGGACCGCGCATAACCTTTGCCCTCGGGCCCGCCGTGCGCGAGTGGCTGCGGCCTCGGCCAGGGCCGCCCGCGCCCGGGCATTGTTGGCCAGATTGTTCCGGGGGCCTGCTGCGGCGCGGGCCGCGGCGCCGCGGCCGCGGCAGCTGCTGCCTTTGTCGCCTCTGCAGGGGCCGCCCCCTCCGATGGGGGCCTGTCCTGGACTGCCCCGCAGCGCGAATGCGCCGGCGTGGGTCTGGCCCCGCCCCGCGGAAGCCCGCTCCTCCACCGTGGGCGCGAACGCTGTCGGAGTGGGGGGCGGCTGGAGACCTCCCTGCCCGCCCGCGCCCGAGCTGTCGCTCCAATTTTTCAGCGTCCGCAGCAGGTGTGGCACCCGCTTCGGACGCGTAATCGTCGTCGTCGTCGCCCGAATCGCACTGCGCGTGTCCGCCCCCTCGAAGGGCGCGTCGAAGAGCTCCTCGACCCCGTCGTGGAGGCGCTCGGGGTAGTGCTCGATCGACACGGCGGCCTCGGCGAAGTGAGCCATCAAGAACCAGGCAGAACTTGACTGGGCCAAGAAAGGGCAATCGACTTCGGGGAAGTCGACGCAGTCAATTACGTCCTCTCTGGGTTCCTAAACCGAGAAATGCGCACCCACCCCCGCCCCGCTTCCCCCGGGACACTGCGCGTGGAGATGCTCATCGATTCCGCAGGTATTGCATGTCATGCGTTTGCCTGTTTATCCATCGGATTAAGCCTGCGCCCCTTTCCTTTGCCAGCTGTGCGCCTGCGACCTTTGCCTTTACCTTTAACTCCAAGGAACAAGTCTTCAAACTCGCAATATGTTAGCCTGGCGAGAAAAGCGGCTATGCCTCTGATGTGCAGTCGGCGGGTGCGTCAACCACCCTTGCCGCGACCCGTGCCCTTGCGAAAGGAGACACGACGTGCGGCTCGCCTGAATATCCTAGCTGGTTTCTTCATATGTCGGCCCCACCTTCGTTTGGCATGGTGATAGTTGCGCCGCTGCATCATTGCACCCGCGGGTAGATCTGACCAGCGCCAATGTAGGCGACCGCATCGGAATCCGTGCCAAAATCGAATGCTTCTCCGTCTCGTTGGCCGGGGGAACCCCAGAGGGTGGTCGCGCCAGGTGGCGTGCAACTGGCAGCCGATGGCCAGCCAATATTTGGGCCCGAAGCCTGTGCGTTGTTGGCTTCTTGGCTCGAAAGTGTCGTGGATTCAATGGGCTCTCCGTTATTACACGTGCTGTTCGGCACGGCTGCCAGTGTGTGGTTTACTTCGGCATGGTAGGTGCCAGCGATGCGTCCGCTGAAGATGCTCCCGATGTTTCCTGGGGAACGCTCAATCGAATGTCCATGGCTGCGCATACGCTCCAGGAAATAATCATATTGTTGCTGGGTACGGGGCGGTTGGTGGTTGAGCGGTTGCAATAGATGTGCTGCTCGAAATTGAATGAGCACCAAGATCTGGAAGATGGGTATGTTGAAGCCCGCTGAGTCCGTTGCCCCTCTGGTCATCTCGAATCGGGCCAGTGCTGAATCAATGCGTTCGCCCGCATCGGCCCTGAAACCGATGAGTGCAATCCCCGAGGTGGGCTGTCTCTCGGCCTTACGTTTTTTTGTTATTGCACTTGGTACTTAGTAGGTACATGATGTCTGTAACTCCGTCAATGCGTCTACCCTGTATGGTGACACCGTAGTTCATGATGGTAGACGGCACCCTCATAGGCAGCGTCCAAACTAAACCCCCACGATGCGATGTAATGCGACAGCCTGTTGGGGTGGAGTCATGCTTCCCCTCGTGACGTGAAGCCATGCGTGTACTTCACGAACAAGAAGTCGCGGAAAGGTGCATTGCCAGCGGGGCCCTAATATGGACCCCGACTGCGTGTTTCATACATTCCTCCTCGCATGTATCCCACGGCGAGACTTGGGCACACCCGTATCATATTCCAAACATAACAATATTGATACAATGCGTGGTCATACTGTAGCTGACAATACCAGGTTTGGTCTCATTGGTGTTTGTCGCGCCGGTCGGGTTGCGACTGGGTGTCTGATCTGACGTGGCCGTCAGTCAGGTTGCGGATGGATGTAGGTAGTTGGTCGGAGTATGGCGTGTGGCCACGCGGTGGGGGATGGAAATATTGGAAAGTAAATGACCACTTGGTTTAAAAACGCTGGGAATGTAGTGGCTGATGGCCGGCGCAATCGGGTATTCCACTGTGCCGGGGTAAATTGCTATGTACATAACGCCCGATGTAAGAGCCAGCCACACAAATATAAGGCCAGCTCCGATTCCAACTTAACGAAGCAAGGGTCAAGGGCTTGACCGCGAGGTAATAAGCCGAGGACCGGACTCTTAGATTAACGCCGGCGACGTATCGAGGTCTCCCATAACTCATCCCTTGATGGCAAGCTAGATGAGAGGTGAAAGATAAGCCATTCAATAAAGAGAGGGATCATTGATATACGTGGCCTTTGTCTGACGCAATGATCCGATAGTGATAGTGTCCCACTGCCGTGTGACAGGCAAATGGGGCTGCGCACCCTAGCCTTGAGCCAATATTGCGGCGGATATAGCGCTCGCTGTACCCATCCCCCTTTTTAACACAGTTCGAGGTTGCAATCGTTGTTGTCTGGATGCTATAGCTTGCGCGCTGGATGCATCAGTTGCGCGTGGATGCAATTGTGTACCCTTCCCCACTCGCAAAAGCTATCGTCCGTGCAATAATTCGTGTCCCCCCGGCAACTGTTGTAATTGTGCGCAGTAGCACACAAACAGTGAATGATTGCGCCGCACTCGAGTGCGAAAACAACATAACCCATATACGTAGCCGCGGCCTCGCAAGGCCGGGCCCCTGGACCGCGACACCGCGGAAACGGGGCGCTTCTGTTGCAAATGCCCCGCGCGGGACGTGTCTGTACGACCGCGTATCCGCGGGATCGCGCCCCAGAATCCAGACCGCCAGTGCGCGGATACAGATATGTTCGCCGCCTGCGAATCACTCCAGTTCAGCACTCCTGCGTGTAGTCGGCGCGCGGCACTCTGCGGGGAGGCGCTGGCCTGCGCCCGCGCCGCTCTGGTCGCAGGGCCTCCGCGGGGGCGGGCGGGATGGGGGGGGCGCAGTGCAGAGGCTGAGGGGGGCGAGCGTAGCGAAGGGAAGCGAAGCGAACGCCAGAGTCGCGCGCGCTCCGCTAGGGAACACACCCGTGCCCAGGAGGGCACGGCGCGCAGGCCGTGGCCTCGGAAATGTGAACTTTGCACCTGCCCGTCGCTTCGGCGAGGTGCGCCTGCCGAGGCTGTGCGGAACTTAGTCTTGGAATTCTTACGGCTCGAAATCCTTATTCAGCGACTCCGTAAGTTCCTAATTAGAATAATGCCACCTGTGCTCCGCAGGTTCTTATCTGGAGTCAACGCTGGCGCATGTTGCAGAAAGCTCTGCCGGAGGTCGCAAATGTTCTTGAACGTGCCCTCCCGCCTCCCTGGTGCGCCCAAGCGGCCACAAGCGTCCTTCATCAGTTGATAAGGGGGTGAGCCTCAGGTGGAGGGAGGGAGGGAGGGAGCGAGTGAGAGGAGGGTCGAGGACCCAGGATTGCAAGCGGTTCCTCCGATGCGTGCGCAATGACTGCCGGGCGGGGAGCTCGGGCGAGGGCGACGCTTCGCCCGCTCGCGCGCGGCCCCGCTCCCAACGACTTGGCAATCAAATGTGTGCGCCGCGCCCGAAAAGCTGGACCGCTACGTCCAAACGGAATTGGGCTACTCTGTTGGCTCCGCAGGCTAGTCGTCCTAGAGCTCTGCAGGGTAGACCTGAACAGAGTGTAGCAGAGCAGAGCTGAGTGTGGCAGGGTTGTGTAAGGCGGAGCTGCATATACATATGTCTATCTATATGCGTCTAGGGAGAGGGGGATCGGTAAATTAATGTCGGATAGTACGATGGTTTTTAAGCCTAAGCCTGAAGCGGCGAATAATACAATGGAATGTATCGGGTACGGCAGTAGGCTCATCATGTGGCCTCGTATGCTTGGCCTCTGGCACCATAGAGTAAGCGTGGATGAGAGTAGCATGGAACAGAGTAGGGCCGTGTATGCTATGTTAACGCGGATGCTTATATTGATGGAAAGCTCAGCCCACAATCGTCACCCTGAGTCTGTGCGGAGAGCTTGTCTTGTAATAAACCGTATGGCTCCACATGCTCACGCAACGGCTACAAAGATTTGGATATCGTGGAAAAGTCCTAAAACTCCGCACGCTCATGGAACAACGTCGCAGAGAAGTGATACAGTCGGGTCGAGTGGTCAGGGAAGAGCCGAGTAGGCTGCACGCTTCTTGGCTGAACAGAGATTACCAGATTGCTAGCCCGCTGTCCATTACCATTGCATTTGTTTTACGCAAGCTAGTGTTTTCAGTCAGCGCTTGATCAGATTACAAAATCTCTGCCAGAGGTCGCAGGTTGTCTTGAATCTGACCTCTCCCACCTGGTGCGTCCAAGCGGCCACAAGCGTTCTTCATCAGACAGTAGTTAATGAGGGGGTGACCAAAGTAATGAGGAAGGGAGCGGGCGAGAGGAGGGTAGAGGACCCAGAATGGCAAGCGGCTCCTCCGATGCGTGCGCAATGGCTGCCGGGCGGGGAGCTCGGACGCAACGGAAATCCGCCGCCCCCTGTCGATTCATCGCAGGGGTGCCTGGCGTGCTAGATTATTACGGTTTTGGTTTTGGCTCCTTTTCCAAAAGAACTCCCCCTGGGGCTTCGGCCCGTCCCGCCGGCTGCCTGCCTCGTCGGCTTTTTCGCTCAAGATGGCCCAAGATGGCCTCCAAGATGCCTCCAAGACGGCCACGATGGCCTCCAAGACGGCTAAGATGGCCTCGAGACGCCTCCAAGACGGCCCAATATGCACCCAAGACGGCCTAAGATAGCCTCAAGATGGCCCAAGACAGCCTAAGAGGCCCCCAGGAGGCCTCCAAGACCGCCCAAGACGGCCCAAGAGGCATCCAAGAGGTCCTCCAGGAGGGCCCGAAGAGGCCAAAATCATTGATGTTCCTAAGGTTTTTGAAAGATTCAGGCATTTGCTTCTTCTCGGGATTCCGACGGCTCAAGACGGCCCAAGAGGCCCCCAAGATCGCCCCAAGATCGGCCACGAGGCCTCCAAAATGGCCCCATGACGGTCCAAGAGGCCCCCAAGACGGCCCCAAGAGGGCTAGGTTTTTGCAGGATGTTGGCATGCTCTTCTTATCAGCTCTCCGACGGCCCAAGACGGCCCAAGAGGCCCCCAATATCGTCCCAAGAGCGCCCAAGAGGCCTCCAAGATGGCTCCATGACAGCCCAAGAGGCCCCCAAGAGTGCCCCAAGAAGAGCCCAAGACGGCCCAAGATGGCCCCCAAGACGCCCAAGATGGGCGGCAAAACAGTCAAGATGGCCTCCAAGATGCCTCCAAGACGGCCACGAAGGCCTCCAAGACGGCGAAGATGGCCCCAAAATGCACCCAAGACGGCCACAGATGGCCTGAAGATGGCCTTAGACTGCCCAGAAGGCCCGCCAGAGGCCTCCAAGACAACCCAAGACCCCTCCAAGACGTCCTCCAGGAGGCCCGACCGCTCGGAAACCAACTGGTCCGATAGCTCGCCCCACTCCGTGTTTCCCGAAGGCTTTCGAAGCCCACTCGGGAAACGCGTGGCCCGATAGCTTGGCCAAGCTCAAACCCAATGTTCGGCCACGCAGGCGCTTCCAAAAAGGCAGGGGGCGGCGGTGATTCGCCGTCGGCGTCTTCGATTCGACCTTGCCCGCAACCTGGCGAAGACGCATCCTGCCTCATGCCTGGGTCACGGGAGCTGGGGCCAGGCTCTGGTCCTGCGAAGCGTTGGCTTCGAGGAGGCTGGCATCCTCATCGGCAGCGTTGGTGCACTTGGAGTAGGTGTGGGCGTGCGGATCGCGCCAAGGGCCTTGCTTGTTCTCTTCGTTCAGAAAATGGAAGCAGTACGTGTCTCCCTCCTTTGACTCGCGATGCGTGAAACCGACGCAGCCCCTGTCTTTGCGGCACGCCTTGGCGCAGTCGTCCAGCGGCTCATCATCCAATTCTTCGATCTGCTTGCCGCTCCTCCAAGTCCCCGCGTGGGAGAACTGAAATCCGCTCTGGCATGCGAAACCCTTCATCTGGCACCTGCTGTAGGACACTGCCCTGTGGTCCACCTGCTGCTGTAGGCCCTTGTGAAGAGTGCACCGCATCCTTTCTTCCTTGGTCTTACGGGCAGTGAAGCCGACGCAATTCTTGGCATCGTCGCAATCCTGCTTACACGCGGTACGATTCCTGGCACCAGTCTTGTAAGAACTCGGCCAATACAATCCGTCGATCTTAAAATAACCAGGGAAGTCGGCGCCACATCCAGTCGACTCCGCGTGTTTGGATTGCAACACCGTGCGCGGCAAATTGGTTAGCGTCGACCATTGCATGCCCGCACTCTCCTGGACCGAGAGGGCGCCGGCAACGGAGACACCCACCGCCGCGCGAATGAAACTGCTGATCGCCATCTCTATCGTTTTAGGGGTCGATGTCTGATCTCGAACCGGAATGTAAACAAGTGTGTGAGATAACTGGAAATTTCCGAGTGCCAGGTCAGCAAATATCTCTAGCCACAACGGCTACGGAGAAGGAACGAGGCAAGACACGGTCAACTTACGCATCAATATGATGGACGAGTACGGCAACCAAAACTACCCAGCAACTGCTAACAAACTATGCAGCAAGAGGGTCAGCTTCGTGTTCGAAGAACAAGCGTCCTGATACTCCTTCGCGGGCAGCAAGGCATACTGCCGTGGGGTCACCGCGCTCCGAGGGAGCCAATGAACGAGTTTGGGCGATGAGCAACGAGCCCGCTTACTGACTCCATGATGCTAGAATCCTGGGGGCCGGGCGCGGAGTGGGCGCGTCCCCAGGTCCTTTGCCCAATCTCCCGGGCTGCAGTCTTCAATCCTGAGGGTTTGAGGGGGCCCAAACCTCACATTGCGAAATCTACCGGGAGATGTCGCGTGCCCTCCGGGCTCCCCCGCGGCTTCCCGCGTTAATTGTTCGGGTGCAAGAGGGCCCCAAGGCGGGCCAAGGCGGCCCCAAGAGGCTCCAAGACGGCCCCCATACGCCCAAAGATCGGCCCAAGACGCGCAAGGTGGCCCCCAGGCGGCCCCAGAGGCCTCCAAGACGCCCCAAGAGACCTCCCAAGAGGGCTCCAATAGGCCAATGATTCTCCGAGGTTTTTGAAGGTTGTTGGCTTTCTCGCTTGTTCGGCTTCCTGACGCTCCAAGACGGCCCAAGATGTCCCCAAGATCGCCCCAAGACGGCCAAAGAGGCCCTGAAGACGGCTCCAAGAGGGGTCCCAGAAGGGGGACCCTACGATGGCCCTACGATGCCTCCAAGACGGCCCAAGATGCATCCAAGACGGACCAAGATGCATCCAAGACGACCTAAGATCGCATCGAAACGGCCCAAGGGAGGACCCGAGGAGGCCTCCAAGACGGCCCAAGAGGCCTCCAAGAGGTCTTCCAGGAAGGCCCAGAGGTGCCAAAATCATTGACTTTCCGCAGGTTGGCGGATTTTGCTTTTTGCTTCTGTTCGGTCCTCCGACGGCCTGAGACGGCCCAAGAGCCCCCCAAGGTCGCCCCAAGATCGCCCAAGCGGCCTCCAAGTGGGCTCCAGAGCGACCCAAAAGGCCCCAAAGGCTGCCCCAAAAAGGCCCCAAGAAGACCCACGAGGCCTCCAAGACGCCCAACATGGCTTCCAAGACAATCCTGGAGCACCCCAAGAGGGCCCCAAGTCGGCCCAGAGAGGCCCTCAAGACGGCTTCCGAGGGCGTCAGACGGGCAAAGAGGCTACCAAGACGGCCCAAGATGGCTCCAAGATGGCCCAAGACAGCCCGAGAGGCCCCCGAGAGGTCTGCAAGACGGCCCAAGGCCTCCAAGAGGTCCTCCAGGAAGGCCCGAAGGTACCAAAATCATTGATTTGCCTCAGATGTTTGACGGATGTTGGCATGTGCTTCTGTTCGGTCCTCCGACGGCCTGAGACGGCCCAAGAGCCCCCCAAGGTCGCCCCAAGATCGCCCAAGCGGCCTCCAAGTGGGCTCCAGAGCGACCCAAAAGGTCCCCAAGGCTGCCCCAAGAAGGCCCAAAGACGGCCCACGAGGCCTCCAAGACGCCCAACATGGCTTCCAAGACAACCCTGGAGCACCCCAAGAGGGCCCCAAGTCGGCCCAGGGAGGCCCTTAAGACGGCTTCCGAGGGCGTCAGACGGGCCAGGTCGCTACCAAGACGGCCCAAGATGGCTCCAAGATGGCCCAAGACAGCCCGCGAGGCCCCCGAGAGGTCTGCAAGACGGCCCAAGGCCTCCAAGAGGTCCTCCAGGAAGGCCCGAAGGTGCCAAAATCATTGATGTGCCTCAAATGCTCTGGTCGGCCTTCCGACGGCCCGAGACGGTCCAAGCGCCCTCCAAGGTCGCCCCAAGATCGCCCAAGCGGCCTCCAAGAGGGCTCCAGAACGACCCAAGAGGTACTCAAGACGGTCCCAGAGAGGTCCCCAAGACGGCGTCCGACGGCGTCGGACGGGCCAGGAATGCCCCAAGACGGCCAAAGAGGCCCCCGAGAAGCCCTTAAAGCCCCCCCAAGAGGCCCAAGGAGGCCCCCAAGATGCATGCAAAAGTCTCCCAGGAAGCCCCAGGGAGGCCTCAAGAGTGCCCCCAGAGGCTCCCAAGATGCACCTCCTCCTCCTCCTCCTCCTGATCTTCCCCGCCATCCTCCCCCAAGTGTTCCTGTAAGGGTTTCTACAACGGCTGAGGGAACACATGGACCGATAGCTTTGCAGAGCTCTTGCCACAACGCTCGGCCACATGGGCGATTCCAAAATGCAGGGGGCGGCTGTGATTCGCCGTAGGCGTCTTCGATACAGGCAGAGCTGATGCGTTGTCATCGTATCAAAGCCTCGCAAGCCCCCCAACACTCCAGGGCAATGGATTGCTTACAACTCTCGTGCGAATCCAACCTCCCAGCTTACATGCGCCAAGGTACGTCTCAAAAGAGGATGTATCATCTTGGTTCCCCTCATCATCCTCACCATTCGGATGATCAGTGTTAAATCACCGAAGACTGGATCCTCGGACCCTTACCGATTGCCGTCCTGACCCGCTTTGCGATCAGAGCCCAACTGTGACGACGCGGCGGTTCTGGCACCCTGCCCTCATTCGCATCTCGCGACCACGCGGTGGCACAGGATGTGAAACCGTGGGACTGGACATAATGGGTCGAGCGGGGGCTGGGGTACTCCTTGCTTTGTTCCTGCACTGGGCACTCCTGCAGTTTCCCCCGCCGTGACTCGCCGCGACCTGCCCGACGGTCGGAGGACCTGCTCGATCCGAGGCCCCCCAGAGGCACCCAAGACGCTCCAGGAGGCCTCGGCGACAATGTCAAAATCATTGATCGTACTAGGTGTTGGTCACATTTTGGCCTCCTGGGGGGGAAGGGGGGGGGGGGCACTGCTTAAGATGACTCCAAGAGCGCCTGGGAGAGCCCAAGATGACCTCCAAGATGGCTGAAGATATCCCAAGATGCCTCAAGATGGCTCCCACGATGCTCCAAGAGGCCCCAAGAACGCTCCAAGACGGCTCCAAGTGGCCAAAGAGCTCCCCAGGAGGCCCCGAAGAGGCCATGATCCTTACACAATCTTAGGTCGGATAATCAATGTGTTTGGCTTTCTCGCCTTTTCGCTTCCGATAGCCATCCGAGGCCTCGAGATGTCTCCAAGATGGCCCAAGAGCGCTCCCAGGGCGCCCCTGGGGCTCCCAAGAGCGCTTCAAGAGGGTCCCAAGAGGCGCCCAGGAGGCCCCGTGAGGCCCCAACAGGCGCCCAAGAGGCCTCCAAGAGGCTCCCAAGAGACCCCCAAGAGGCCCCAAGAAGCTCTCCGAGGCACCCAAGACGCTCTAAGAGCGTCTGGGACCGCCAAGAGGCCCCCAAGACGCTCCAAGAGACCTCCACTGGGGGACCCTTCCTCTGTGTGCTGCCCACTTCCCTGATCGAGGCAATTCCTCTGGGCATCGTTTCTGGATGGGTTGGTGGGGTTACTGTTTAGTTCGCGACCGTAGCGACAAATCGCTCGGCGTCAAGAAAATTCCGTCATGCGGCGCGGGCTCGCGTCGAACGTGCCGTCAGGAAGTGACCAGGCCGTCCACTCAGCTTTCCCTGGCGCGACTCTGGCAGCATTCCCTTGAGAACCTCTCCCACGACGGCCTCGGGGTACCCCCCAACTGACCAGTGGAGCGCCTGAAAGAGAAGCATCGCAGGGTGCCTTAGCACAGACAAGATAAGCAAGAACATCGCAGCCCAGAAGGACTCGCTGCGAACTGCCAAATCAGCCGACGAGCAAGATAGAACGACAGGTGTCTTGCGACGACAGGTATTGAGCCTCTGGGGTACTGGGGGGCTGGGGTACTCTTGTCGGGGGCGCCCTGGGGGACTAGGAACTACAGGGGGGGGGGAGATACCCTGGCTGGGGGCAGGACATCTCCCCAAATGTCATGGCCCCCTCTTCGTCGCCAGCTCCACCTTCTTGAAGTACTTCCCTTGCCCCCCCCCCTGGGCCGCGGACGTGCCTCGTGTGGCTGACTTTCTGCCCCCATGGTCAGAAAGCGGTGAGACACGATGGGATGTGGAGGAGGAGGAAGAGGACGAGGAGTGGGAGAAGGAGGAGAAGGAGGAGGAGGAGGGATGCCCGCGCCCAGAGCACCTTCCACCACACTGCATTATGCAGGCACGGCGGCCGAGACGCTGCAAGCGCCCTCTTCAAAAGCACGGCGCCAACAGAACGCAACGTGTGAGCTCCGGGCCATCGCCCGACACATCGCACAAACCGTTTTGGCGCAGGCCATCTTGCTGGGACTGGTCCGGCCCTTTCGCGAGGGGTTCGAGCGTCCAAGATGCTCCAAGATGGCTCCAATAAGGCCCAAGATAGCCCGATATGACCTCCAAGATCGCTCAAGATGACGTCCGACAGGCCTCCAAAAGGCGCCATGACCGCCCCAAGACGGCTACAGTTGGCTACGGAGCCTCCCGAGAACCATCCCCAGAGGCCAACATCCTTCCAAACCCATAGGAGCATCACTGTGTGATGTCGTCTCGTCTCTGCGCGTCCGATGGCCTCCCGAGGCCTCTACACGTATCCAGTACGGCCCAAACGAGCCCCGCGGGGGGACCAAGATGGGCCGAAGACGGCCCCACGAGCGTACACCCAAGAGGCGATGCTGAAGGCCCCGATGGGGGGCTGACATAAGCGTCGCGCCCTGATTTGATCGATGGCCCTCAAGATGGCTCCTCCAGGTCCCCAGAAGGGCCGCAAGAGAGCCAAGCGTGCTCCACGAGGGCCCCAAGAGAGCCTCAGAAGGAATACAGCATGGCACCCAGGAGGCTCCACGAGGACCCTAAAGATGGGCCCAACGTGGCCCCAAGAGGCCCCCAGAGCGTGACTGCATGCTTCCAGAGGTGCCTGAACAGGGCAGCTCTTCTGGTGACTGTAGTTGGATGGGCTGGTGGGGATGCGCGAGGCGTCAAGACTGTTTATCGGCGGCGAGCGCGGGGGGGAAGTGAGAAGGGGCAAACCTTCGCAGAAGGCTCGGAAGTCCCCAAGCCTTCTGAGAAGTTTCCTAAACCTTCCCCGGGGACAGAGAACACTTCTCAGAAGGCGCGAGCGCTTCTGAAAAGTACCTCCGCCTTCTGCGAAGGCCTTCTCCTTCTCATTTCTCCCCTTCGCTCGCCGTCGAGTTTAACAAAACTGCCAGTTGGAACCCGCACAATGAATTATCGTATAGAGGATGCGAAGTACACGACGCGCAACCTATGCGGGGCAATTAACATTGAAGAGCTTGAACTGTGTTCGACATGCTCGCGTCCGTTGGCCCGTGTTTCATGATGAGTTCAGCGGGTGCGCGCGCAACAGTCCGTATATCATTTGATTGATCTAACGCACGGTTCGCGATAGTTGTTGAACAGATGTGTCTTGGAATGGAGAAAACAAACCAAGTGTGGATGATTTAGACATGCACGCGCGGCGGCGCACGACTGTCTCGCGCAAAACTTGTTGGGAAAGAGTCTTAGAGAAATCACGTTTTAGAACACCGCATGTCCACCGCATACATCGCACTTCACATGGACAAATGATATCGGAGGTGCGACATCAGCACTGGGTGGCATGCTATTCTTTGAACTTGCAAGACGGACGAGCGTCAAATACTCGTGTGGAAAACATGCAGAGGGGCACACACACATATATATATACACATATATGGGGTGCAAGAGGAGCCAACAAACTGCATACACGTTAACTACTGGAGCTCCGCCCAGATGTCTTGGATCGCCGCTGGGGCCTCCTGGCGGCGCCTCCAGCGCCGCCAGTGGCGCGCTCCGCGCGTCAGGCAGGTGCGCTCCGCGCGCTAGGCATGGGGGGTCCAGCGTGGATCCGAGAAGCCCGCGCGTAGCCCCTGGCGCGCGGAGCGCGCCAGGGAGGGGGGGTCCAGCGAGGATCCAAGAAACCCGCATGCAGCTCCAAATGCTTCTGCTTCTGCAACTCTGCGCAAGCGCGTTCCACTACTCGCAAAGTCACTACTCGCAAATGGCCTGGATCCGCTGTGGGGGATTTACCATATATTACATCGAGGCGAACATTGGTTTTTCGGACGTTTGCGAGTAGGCACTTTGCGAATAGTGGAACGCGCTCGGAGAAACTCCTTCTTCTTCGAATCTCGGGGCGGCGACGGGCGCATGCCAGGCGACGCCCTGGATACGCCCAGCCGGCGCACGAGGCGGCAACGAGGAGGCGACGGGCGCCGCGGTGGCCGAACGGCAAGACCCGGCCAGCGCACGAGGCAGCGCCGAAGCGGCGGCAGGCGGGCGGTGGCCGGGGCCCCCCGCAGACGCACAGCCGGGCGCTCAAGAAAAGGAGGCCCCAGGGGAAGGGGCCGCATGGCGCCGCCGCACCCATGTCGGCACACCCCTTAACACGCGTCGTGGCCCTACGGGGGGCTCCACTGAAGGCCCCAGGGGAAGGGGCCGCATGGCGCCGCCGCACCCATTTCGGTATACCCCTCACACGCTTCGTGGCCCTGCGGGGGGCTCCACTGAAGGCCCCAGGGGGAGGGACCGCATGGCGCCACCGCACTCACGAGAACCCCTCGGTGCAAGCTATGATGTTTGGGGCGATGCTGGACTTGCGAGCTGCCGGATGGTAATGCGAGCTGGTTGCGGTCGTCGTGGGGATCACATCCCCTCGGAGACATCGCCTCACACCTCTGTCGATTGACACGTCCTCCGCTCCAAAGGGAGACTTGCCGTCATGCCTGGTGCTCCGCAACCGCCGCGTAGATGCCCTCCTGTACATGTACTGGTACATCGCTGCCTCCAGTCTCGATGCCTGCTGGGACTAGCGAGTCGCAATCCCCATTTCACATGCCATGGAAAACGTCGTCAACCGTCTGGGGGATGGCTGGGATTCGCATCCAGTCGAAAACAGCACCAACTCATAATGGCAACGCCTGAATCAGAAGGGCGAACGAAGGGAGAAACGATGAAACGGGACAACAGCGAAACTATGGAGGTGCCTGCCAGAATGACTACCGAAAGGGGACAGGACGGGGCGGGGATGGCCAGGGGATTGAACATGCCACCGATACTCAGATGGGATCGCAATCTTCAACAGCCACTGTGCAGAACTTGAACAGTGAACGGATCACGTCGTGCACCAGGTCTGGAAGCCATACGCCGCACGTGCCCACAGCCCTCCCCCTCCTCAGCCCCCAACCTCTTTGTTGGCATGCCGCTGGCCGCATCTGCATACAGGATGCCGTAACTATTCACGGCTCATTCAGCCTCATCGCTATCAACAACCCACAACCCAGAAGGAACTGGCAGGAAAAGAAGGGGGAGCGCCAGCATCTGAGGCACGCGTGCACGAGCGCACAGACATGGACCACAACAAAATCAGGGCAAGCGAACCCACGATGGCCCACAAGCAGCCCCGCGGCGCCCCAACAGCACCGCGCCGCCCCCCCCCCCCAGCGACGACCTGCTTCTTTCCTGTCCCTGCGCCACTAGGGAGGCCTCCCAGGGGTCGGAGCAGATGGGGCTGTAGGACCGCGCCGCACTGGCGATGCATCGACGATGCATCGCCAGTGCATCGTCAGTGTATCGGCGATGCACCGGCGACGTCGTCGATGCATCGGCGACATCGGCGTGGAGAAAACTGTGCTCCGCATCGAGCTGCATCCTCGATGCATCGGCGAGATGCGGCACGATCCTCCGACGCCATGTGCTCGAGCCCCATCCGGCAGGCCTCGAGCCACACTGGATGTCCACGCGCATCCTGCCTCTCCAAAGCTCTCGTCGCACAGAGGGTCACTGTTTCGTTTTGCTGAAAACGCAATATCGGACAAATTCTCCCAGAATTGCACTCGACAGGCGAACTGCTCTCCGCCTGGCGCGGCGAATCTTCCTCGGCGCCCCACAGGCCGTCCATATATGCACACGTGTGGCGCAACTGTTCGTAGCATTCCCTTTCGGAGTGTTTCTGCAATCGTGCCCAGTATTGCAATATCCTGCTGAGGACTCGCACTGGCTGCACTCAAACGTCATGCCTTTCGATCGTGTCCATTTGGGCAAATTTCCCTACAAATATGTTACTTCCGTCGGCCTCGTTGTCGAGCGGCATACGCTGCACGGGGAGTACCTGCAGCAGTCGCAGCGCTACTGGGCCCCAAGACAGCCCAAAAAGGTCCCAGACGGCCCGAAAAGGCCCCAATTTCCCTGACGAAAAGCCCAACCCAATCTGCACGCATGGAAACTATCAACAAGACCGATCAATGCACAAGAACTCGTTGGGAGGCTCCGCAATACCCTTGAAAATTTCGCCAGAAAGAATCAGACCAGACTTGGCACGCACTCACGCGATTCACGTGGAGGTGTGCTCAAATGGACCCGAGTCACCACTCGGACACTGTCACAAGGGCTTTGGTGGAGCTCCTTACTGGGCCACGAAACGTGCGAGGTGTCTACCAGAATGGGCCCGAGAAATCATGCGGACCCTGCCACAGGAGCCTTCGGTGAAGCTCCCTATCGGGCCACGAAACGTGAGAGGGGCGTGCCAGAATGGACCCGAGTAATCATGCGGACCCTGCCACGGAGGTCTTCGGCGAAGCTCCCTGTAGGGCCATTAAACATATGAAGGGCGTGCCAGAATAGGCCCGAGGCACCAGGGTCACTGGCCGGTGCCTTCGGTGGAGCTCCCTATGGAGTCACAAAGCGCGTGAGGGGTATACCAGAGTGGACCCGAGTCCCCATGTGGACCCTGCCTCAAGGCGGATTCGGCGGAGCCTAGTTACTAAAACTCCGTCACAAAATCTCCCTGAAACTCTTGCACCTCGGAAGTCTGCCGGATAATCTCCCAAGAAATATTGCCCCTCGGAAATCTCCGTGGAGATCTCCCGGAAAATCTTGCCCCTCGGAGATCTCCCGGAAAATCACCCGGGAGATCTTGCCCCTCAGACATCTCAATGGAAACCTGTCGGAAAATCTTGCCCCTCGGAAATGTCCCAGAAAATCTCCCGGAACATATTTCCAAAGAGATTTCCACTAAGATGTCCCACATCCCAATACATTCGAATCAATATTCCAGAAAGCCCGGAGATGTCGCCCCTCGGAAATCTCCCAGAAAATCTTGCCCCTTTAAAACTCCCGGGAAATCTCCTGGACAATCTTGCCCCTCTGACATCTTCGGAAAAACTTCCGGAGCAAATTTCACAATATATTTCCATGTTCCGCTGAGATGTTCTACATTCCAATACATTATAAATCGATCCTAATACAACACGGAAAGCCAGGAGATTTCGCAGGAAATTCTCGCACGGGCGGAATGGCCTGGAGATTTCGCTGGAGATTTAAGAGGGATTCCTGGAGATTTCGGTGGGGATTTGGCTTGGAGATTTCGCCAGGGGGATCTGCCATGGATAACTGATGGGGGCCCCAGCACTGCGGCCGGGGATTCAGGGAAAGATGTTCGCAAGATGCTTGGCCAGAACCGTTTCGGACGTGTTATCAAGACTCACCCGACCTGAGCAAAGGGCTCATGGAGGAAACGTGGCGCCTGCTGCCGGATCTCCAACCAAGCTTGCCCGACACGCGGCTGCAGTCCAAGACTGCCACTCGACAGCCCTCGGGCAAGACTATCAGGGCCTGCTTTTCTGCGGCGCCAGGCCGACGTCGCAGTCGGGAAAACTCTGCATACTCGACGTGCCAACGGCCTCGCCCGGGCCTGGGACATCCGACCGCCGGGAAGTGCGTCAGGGGACGGTCCAGCGTCCAGGATGCAGCCCTCGCCCGCGGCCCAGGCACCAACTTGCCAGGACACCCTGGGATGATTTGAGATGCTCCCTGGGAACATCCAAATTCCACACTTGACATCCAGGGCGACTGGTGAGGACACGGCTGAAATCATCGTGGGCGCGACCAACCTCGAAACTCCGGGCGTTGCCGCAGACACCGAAGCTCCCAAATCGGTCTCCCTCCCGTTCTTCCCCCCTTCCCACCCCACACAGGCCCACCCCCTCGTCCTCGTCCTCGTCCTCCTCATCCCACTCCTCCTTGTTCTCCTCCTCCGCATACTGCTCGCTGTATTCATCTTCATCCCTCGAAAGGGCCGCCGGCCCAACGCGTCGCCTGTATTCAACTGGACCCATTCGCTGAGCGACATGCTCCGGCCTTCCAGCAGCCAGCGGGAAAGCATCATGGCCGAGAACATGAGCCTCGCGCGCGCTCGAAGCGAGCGCTCGCCCCAAGCCACGCCCGCATCCTCTGCAAGCAGGCTGCGCAACGCGCGGCACGGAACACCTACCGCCCTTGGGACCGTTTTTTGCTGTTCGGCGATAGTACGGACTATCTGGTGGGGGGGGGTGCCGACCGATGATCTGACCTTTTCATTTTGGGCAGCCCCACGTATGCCCGCGCACACCAGTACTGCGTGCCCCTTCGGACCTGCGCAACCGACCGGCAAGGTCAGGTTCTCCAGAGGGGGGGGGGGGGTGGGGGGGGGGGGCGGGCCCGCTAACCCTGGTAATCGCTGGACCCCCAACAGAGACGGCCTCCTTCCGTGGCCGACTGGAGGACCAGGGGCCGCCAGCGAGGCGAGCACGGGGCATCTCCTCTTATTTGTCATATTCCTTTGTTGTTTGCTACTACTCATGCGTATCAATAGCATTCGTATTATTATTACTCTTATTATTATCATTTTTTCATTATAATTATCATTATTGCTATTATTATTATTACTACTAATATTATTACTATTATTATTATTATTATTGTTATTATTATTAATATATTATTATTATCATTATTATTAGTATTATTATTATTATTATTATTTCATCTGATTGGCGTTATATTAGTAGTCGTATCATCATTATCCGCCTCTGGGGGCCCGCAGACCTGCCGAGCGCCGCGGCCCGACGGGAGAGGAGGAGGGGAAGGAGGCGAGCACGTGAGGGGAGGGTAAGGACTGTCAAGCAAATGTTCAAAACTGATCAAACAAATACTATAAAAAACAGCCCCAGACTATGTTTTGACTATTTCTGAGTATTCCTCGCGAGAGCGGGAGGCGGGACGGGCAGAGGGTGGCTCCACGAAGCTCGGCGAGGTCGGCCCCAGAGCTCGGCGGCGCGCGGGCGGGCAGGGGGGGGGGACACGCAGAGGAGGACATGGGGGAGGGGGGGGACCTTCTTAGTGACACACCCATCCTTCTTAGAAGGCGCGAGACTTCTCTGTAGATGGAAGGCCCGCGCCTTCTAACAAGCAGCCTCCGTAGAAGCCTTCCCCCTTCCCCTGCCCCCCTCCTTGTCGCCTCCTCTCTGACGGCCGCCCCAACCTCCTCCCCCTCCCTTTCCCGCTCCCCGTCCCCCTCCCTTTCCGCCCTCCCCCTGCCTTCCCCTCCACTGCCCTCTCAGAAGCCCTCCCCCCCACATCCGCCGGAGACATTGGGGGAGGGGCGCAAGATAACATCGCGTCTTCTTTGAACGAGCCCCGAAGCTTGAAACACAGGGGTCCTCATACAAATCGCGACAGAGGAGAGACCATCGAGGTTGCGAAGAGCTAAGAGAGGGCACTCACCGATCAAAAGGAGCACTGCACGGCTGGAAAAAAAACACGATCGATGTCTGGTGCTACTCCTTCGACTGTCGGAGGCATCGGAGCGAATCGGGCATTGCCGCCTCTGCTCTCCCGTGGCGGACAAGACGGGAGGAGGGAGGAGGGAGGAGGGATGAGGAGGAGAAGGAGGAGGAGGAGGAGGAGGAGGAGGAGGAGGAGGAGGAGACAGGCACAGACAGACAATCACCATAAGCTCCAACCGATTTCTCTGGGAACTGCTGGAGTGTAAAGCTGAGGAGAGGGGAGGGAGTGTGCGAGAAGGAGGAATAAAGGATGAGGAACGATCCCCGAACAACCCCCTGTGGCTGCACTGGAGCAGTGCCCGCTTCCTCTCGGCGGACAGGGGGGCGGGGGCAAACTACGTGAGTACTCGGCCGTGCACCTCTTGTTGCCACTCGGCCATGAGCAGTCGTCGGAGGATGTCTGCGCGGAAACAAGAGAGTTGCGTTCAACGAGGGGTCCATGATCGACCATCGGGGGCAATGAGTGGATGGCTACGTGACTGGTTTGGCTGCAAGGAGAAAGTGCTTGTCTTGCTACACTACTAAAGTTACGAAGTACTGCTCGTAAAATGATATCACGACTAATATTAACAATATTGCTATTATTTGTTTCGATCGTAATCAGAATGTGTCTCTCGCGAGGTAAATCTGAACTGAACTGACTGGTCGCACCGATTACGCGATGGTTTGAGTCTCGGCTGCCGAGGGCGCAACCTATGGCGCTACCGATCGGAGACGGGAGACGGCTTGATTCTCGGCCGCCGAGTGCGCACGCCGAAAAGCGCAACCTATGGCGCAACCGATAGACACGGTTTTATTCTCGGCTGCCGAAGGCGCAACCTATGCCGCAACCGATAGGAGACGGTGTTATTCTTGGCCTTCGCGGGTGCAACCTATGGCGCAACCGATAGGAGACGGTTTCATTCTCGGCCGCCGAAAGCGTAACCTGTGGCGCAACCGATAGGAAACGGTTATATTCTCGGCCGCCGAGGGCGTAACCTGTGGCGCAACCGATAGGAGACGGTTTCATTCTCGGCCGCCGTGGGCGCAACCTATGGCGCAACCGTTAGGAGGCGGTTTTATTCTCGGCTACCGAGGGCGCAACCTATGGAGCAATCGATAGGAGACGGTTTCATTCTCGGCCGCCGAGGTCGCAACCTATGGCGCAATCGATAGGAGACGGTTTTATTCTCGGCTGCCGAGGGCGCAACCTATGGCGCAACCGATCGGAGACGGGAGACGGCTTGATTCTCGGCCGCCGAGGGCGCACGCCGAAAAGCGCAACCTATGGCGCAACCGATAGGAGACGGTGTTATTCTCGGCCGCCGAAGGCGCAACCTATGGCTCAACCGATAGGAGCGAGGGCGCAACCTATGGCGCAACCCAGGTGCCAGGAGAAGGAGGATGAGCAGGAGGAGGAAGAGAAACGAGGACGAGTTCTTAGACGAGGACGACGAGGATGAGCTGGAGCAGGAGGAAGACGAGGAGGATGAGGAGGAGAACGAGGAAGAAGACGACGACGACGATCAGGATGGGGAGGAGGACGGGGAGGAATACGAGTAGTACGAGGACGAAGTGTGGGCATTCGAATGCTTGCGGGGCTACTCCTGATTTATGCTCGCCGCTTGGGCTGGCGGTGGGGCCCAAGCGGCGAGCTGTCTTGTGATTTCGGTAACGATCATTACTCAGTGGGGTATGGCCGGCAATGGGCACGTCGAGGCGGGGGTGTGCTGCGATCGCAATAATATGCGTGCGAGCACAAGCATACGGGGGGGAGGGAGGCCAAACCCCTCTATCGATCTACGACGAATGCCGTTGCCCAGAAGAGGGGGTGGCCCAGGTGACGACCGTTACGCGCCAGAAGAAAAAAACATTATATCAATGGATTCTGCCATACCCCACACGCGGGGTGGATCGGGTCGGGCGAGAAGTAGGGGGGGGGCTGGCGCATCTTATGAGGAACACCCTGGAGCTCTCGGGCGGCAACTTGAGACCCATCGTACGTCGGATCCCATCGGTGTCACATCGGATTCACGTCGGGCTTGCGTCTGACGGGGCGGACGTGTAGACCAACAACTACAAATATTACGCGCCGCGCGAGGCATCCATAAATTTCCTCATAGCCCTTGTCCGACCCGAGTATACGGGGGGGGGCGGAGGGGCGACGGTAGGCAATCACAGCAGGATCCTGAACACCAGCAGGTGCTCAGATTTTGACGGACAACTGTGGCCGAATGAGCCCCAGCGGGGGTGTCTGGTACCCCAGCGTCGATTGGGCCCGTCGGGGTGGGGTTCGCAAGTGGCGGTGCGGAAAGTTCGTGTCGTGACGACCCCAGCGTTCGCTTCTGACACGCGCGGATCGTCCAACCCTGAACGATCGATGGCGAATTCGACCGCCAGATCACCAGATCATTCGTACTGGACGATTCCAAGAGGTTTCCCAGGCACCTGTTCCTGGCAACCGCAACGATGCGTTCGAAGAAGAAGCGTGCACCAACCAAAACTACTAGCCGGGCTCGGAGTCCAACTGACTTCCATTTCAGGGGGTGGGCCTTGTAGAATCTGCTGGACTGTGGACTCCGAGGAGCCTTTGGGGCTGGTGAGCGCCCTGCAGCTGCTCGAGACTGACTACCTACCTGACCACCCCAACCCAACCCGAAGACCCGAACTTGACCCGAATTTCGGGTTGGGGGGGTACGGGTTCCACGTGTGTTTTTCAATGTTCCTCGACACCCCCCCACTGGAAATGGGGAGAAAATTGAGGCCTTCGGGTTTGGCTGGGGTCGTTTGGTGGGTGGTGAGAGACTGGGCGATCCTGGGCCGCTGGCAGCGTTCCACCTCGCACGCCCGCCGGCGGCGCCGCCTCCACGTCGGCACGGCGCGATCCTGCCGTGGAGGAGGGGGGGGAGGGGGCCGGAGGAGGAGGAGAGACGAGGAGGAGGAGAGACGAGGAGGAGGAGAGACGAGGAGGAGGAGAGACGAGGAGGAGGAGGAGGAGGAGGAGGAGGAGGAGGAGGAGGAGGAGGAGGAGGAGGAGGAGGAGGAGGAGGAGGAGGAGGGGAGGAGGGGGAGGAGGAGGAGGAGGAGGGGGAGAGGGAGGATGGGGGAGGAGGAGGGGGAAGGGGAGGAGGAGGAGGGGGAGGATTTCCGGATTTCCGCCATCACGTAGTGATATAAACATGCTAGCTCAGGCTTTGGGAAACAGGTCGCGAGAGATGCGATCTAAATACTCGCGCCTGGCCATGGTGATCGACTGTGGGCGGCACAGATTTCCTAGCCCTCTGAGCTGGGCCTGACCGAAAAATCCGCAAGCGCCGCAAAACCACAAACCAAGGTCTTTGTGAAAATGCATGGAGTGGGTGGGGTGCGTCCAACCTCCAGCCAAGTGTAAACTCCGCCCAGGGGGGGGGAGGAGCAAGTTTAGAGCTGACTTGGAGCAAAGGGAAGCACTCACTTTTTAAACATTCTCCGTGGCCAGAGTCGCTGAGCTACGGCACACTGAACACGACCTGCCATTTTCGGTCAGGGTGTGGGCAGACGCGAAGCGTGCTATAGCCTTCGGATGCGGGGGGGCGAGACGGGCTTGCGAGGCCTTCGGG